ACTGAGGTGAGCACTAGACCTACAGGAGTCAAGTCCTCGTCCAACATGGCCTGGGTGGACGCCGAGCGGCCCGAGCGCGGCTTCAAGTACCTGTACCTCACGCCCGAGGCCTGCTCCAAGCTGGGCGCCGTCGGGGCCGTGAAGACGCGCCTGGTGGAGGACGACGGCGAGCCGCGCTACAGGATCACCGACGTCATCGGTGAGCGGGATGGGTAGATACATAGCGCGCTGGAGCGAGAGGGAGAGGGAGAGATGTACGTCACAGAGACGACGCAGTAGGGCACCTGTAGGATTAGGAGCGCTAGATCTATACGAGACACTGACAGCGCTAGACTTATAGGAGACACTAAGGCTAAGGTAAGCCGCGTTACAAGACCACCGACGTCATCGGTGAGCGAGCGGGACGGGGAGATGGCACGCTGGAGCGAGAGGGAGATAGATAGATAGCGCGCGGCTGAAGCGAGAGGGAGACAGATAGATGGCGCGCGGCTGGAGCGAGAGGGAGATAGATAGATAACGCGCTGGAGCGAGAGGAAGAAAGTAGACAGAGACGGCTCATGGGGGGCGCTTCTAGGAGTAGAATGAGGAGCGCTAGACCTATGAGACACTGACTAAGGTGAGCGCTAGACCTATAGGACACTGACTGAGTTGAGCACTAGACCTATGAGACACTGACTGAGGTAAGCGTTAGACCTACAGGAAACACTGACTGAGGTAGACGCTAGACCTATAGGAGACATCGACTAAGGTAAGCTCTAGACCTATGGCAGACACTGACTAAGGTAAGCACTAGACCTATGGGAGTCACTGACTAAGGTAAGCGCTAGACCTATGAGACACTGACTAAGGTAAGCTCTAGACCTACAGGAGTCAAGTCTTCCTTCAACGTGGCCTGGTGGTCCGAGCGGCCCGAGCGCGGCTTCAAGTACCTGTACCTCACGCCCGAGGCCTGCTCCAAGCTGGGCGCCGTCGGGGCCGTGAAGACGCGCCTGGTGGAGGACGACGGCGAGCCGCGCTACAGGATCACCGACGTCATCGGTGAGCGAGCGGGATAGATACAGAGCGCGCTGGAGCGGGAGGGAGACAGATAGATGGCGCGCGACTGGAGCGAGAGGGAGATAGATAGATAACGCGCGAGAGGGAGATAGATAGATAGCGCACGGCTGGAGCGAGAGGGAGAAGGTAGACAGAGACGGCGCATGGAGCATCTGTAGAAGTAGGAGGTGGAGCGCTAGATCTATAGGGGATATTGACTGAACACTAGACTTATACAAGACACTAAGATAAGCCGCGGTACAAGATCACCGACGTCATCGGTGAGCGAAGAAGATAGATAGATAGCGCGCGGCTGGAGCGAGAGGGAGAAGTAGACGTCACAGAGACTGCGCAGTAGTAGACACTGACATGACTGAGTTAATATAGGAGACACTGACTGAGTTGAGCGCCAGACCTGTAGGAGACACTGACTAAGGTAAGCGCTAGACCTATGGGAGACACTGACTAAGGTAAGCGCTAGACATATGAGACACTGACTAAGGTGAGCGCTAGACCTATGAGATACTGACTAAGGTGAGCGCTAGACCTATACAAGACACTGACTAAGGTGAGCGCTAGACCTATGGGACACTGACTAAGGTAAGCGCTAGACCTATAGGAGACATTGACTATGTTAATCACTAGACCTATGACAGACACTGACTAAGGTAGACCCAGGAGGTCACGTCCTCGTCCGACGTGGCCTGGTGGTCCGAGCGGCCCGAGCGCGGCTTCAAGTACCTGTACCTCACGCCCGAGGCCTGCTCCAAGCTGGGCGCCGTCGGGGCCGTGAAGACGCGCCTGGTGGAGGACGACGGCGAGCCGCGCTACAGGATCACCGACGTCATCGGTGAGCGGGATGGATAGATATATAGCGCGCTGGAGCGAGAGGGAGACAGATAGATGGCGCGCGGCTGGAGCGAGAGGGAGATAGATAGATAACGCGCTGGAGCGAAAGATAGAGGTGGACATCACAGAGACGGCGCAGTAGGAGACACTGACTGGGCGCTAGACCTATAGGAGACACTGACTGAGTGAGCGCTAGACTTATAGTAGACACTGACTAAGGTAGACGCTAGACCTGTAGGAGACATTGACTAAGTTAAGCACTAGACCTATAGAAGACACTGACTAAGTTAAGCGCTAGACCTATAGGAGACACTGACTAAGGTAAGCGCTAGACCTATGTGACACTGACTAAGGTAAGCGCTAGACCTATAAGACACTGACTAAGGTAAGCGCTAGACCTATAGGAGACATTGACTATGTTAAGCGCTAGACCTATGAGACACTGACTAAGGTAAGCGCTAGACCTACAGGGGTCAAGTCCTCGTCCAACGTGGCCTGGTGGTCCGAGCGGCCCGAGCGCGGCTTCAAGTACCTGTACCTCACGCCCGAGGCCTGCTCCAAGCTGGGCGCCGTCGGGGCCGTGAAGACGCGCCTGGTGGAGGACGACGGCGAGCCGCGCTACAGGATCACCGACGTCATCGGTGAGCGGGATGGATAGATACAGAGCGCGCTGGAGTGAGAGGGAGAGATGGACGCGCATTTGATCGCACGTACCGAGTAAACGGGCGAGACAGTGACGAGTAGCTGTTCACACGTATTTTAAAATTAGCACAGTCAGTTCGAGAAGGAAGCTCTGAATTCGGTTGGGTGGGAGACACTAAGGTAAGCCGCGGTACAAGGTCACCGACGTCATCGGTGAGCGAGCGGGATGGGGAGAGACAGATAGATGGCGCGCGGCTGGAGCGAGAGGGAGATAGATAGATAGCGCGGGAGCGAGAGGGAGAAAGTAGACAGACGGCTCATGGGGGGGCGCTTGTAGGAGTAGAATGAGGAGCGCTAGACCTATAAGAGACACTGACTAAGGTAAGCGCTAGACCTATAAGACACTGACTAAGGTAAGCGCTAGACCTATAAGACACTGACTAAGGTAAGCGCTAGACCTATAAGACACTGATTAAAGTAAGCGCTAGACCTATACGAGACACTGACTAAGGTAAGCCGCGGTACAAGATCACCGACGTCATCGGTGAGTGAGCGGGACAGATAGCGCGGGAGCGAGAGGGAGATAGACGGTGCACGGGGTTAGCGCTCACTTGGCACCTGTAGGAGGTCATGCGCTAGACCTACAGGAGACACTGACTAAGGTAAGCGCTAGACCTATGAGACACTGACTAAGGTAAGCTCTAGACCTACAGGAGTCAAGTCCTCGTCCAACGTGGCCTGGTGGTCCGAGCGGCCCGAGCGCGGCTTCAAGTACCTGTACCTCACGCCCGAGGCCTGCTCCAAGCTGGGCGCCGTCGGGGCCGTGAAGACGCGCCTGGTGGAGGACGACGGCGAGCCGCGCTACAGGATCACCGACGTCATCGGTGAGCGGGATGGATAGATACATAGCGCGCTGGGGCGAGAGGGAGAGGGAGAAATAGCGCGCACTCGGGCACTGTTGTAGGAGTAGGAAGTGGAGCGCAAGACTTATAGAAGACACTAAGGTAAGGCGCGGTACAAGGTCACCGACGTCATCGGTGAGCGGGATGGATAGATACATAGCGCGCTGGAGCGGGAGGGAGATAGCGCGCACTCGGGCGCTGTAGGAGGCGACTAGATGCTAGACTTACAGGAGGTAGGGCGCTAGACTTATGGGAGACACTAAGGAAGATCACCGACGTCATCGAGCGAGAGCGAGAGAGACGGGTAGATGGCGCGCGGCTAGGGTGAGAGGGAGATAGCGTGCAGAGACGAGCCGCGCTACAAGATCACCGACGTCATCGGTGAGCGGGATGGGTAGATACATAGCGCGCTGGAGCGAGAGGGAGAAGGCAGACACAGAGACGGCGCATGGGGCACCTGTAGGAGTAGAAGTAGAATGTGGAGCGCTAGACTTATGGAAGACACTAAGGTGAGCCGCGGTACAAGATCACCTACGTCATCGGTGAGCGAGCGGGATGGGGAGATGGCGCGGCTGGAGCGAGAGGGAGACAGATAGATAGCGCGGGAGCGAGAGGGAGAAAGTAGACAGAGACGGCTCATGGGGGGGGGGCGCTTGTAGGAGTAGAATGAGGAGCGCTAGACCTATAGGAGACACTGACTAAGGTAGGCGCTAGACCTATCAGACACTGACTAAGGTGAGCGCTAGACCAATGAGACACTAAGGTAAGCGCTAGACCTACAGGAGACACTGACTGAGGTAGACGCTAGACCTATGAGACACTGACTAAGGTGAGCATTAGACCTATGGGACACTGACTAAGGTAAGCGCTAGACCTATGAGACACTGACGAAGGTGAGCGCTAGACCTATGGCAAACACTGACTAAGGTAAGCTGCGGTACAAGATCACCGACGTCATCGGTGAGCGAACGAGACAGATAGCCGAAGCGAGAGAGAGAGCGCTGCAGGAGGCGAGGGTGGAGCGCTAGACCTATGAGAGCCACTGACTGAGTGAGCGCTAGCCCTATAGTAGGTTAGGTAGGTGTGCAATGAGCATCACTGTTGTGACTGGTGGTGCTGCTCAGTTCACTTTTTCTTTCCATGTTAATATTATATGTGCTATTTCTGTCTTTTTTTCTATATTTAATTTTGTCCTTGTGTGATGTTCATCGTAATAAATGTTTCTTTCTTTCTTTCGCTGAAAATCGGTGTCGAGGCATTCCCACGGCGTGCCCCAATTAATGCTGAGCGGACCCCTATTTGACAGCAGGGCACAATGTTTTCCTTTTTTTAATTTGTGTAAATGTCGCCCTTTTGGTCAAATAAAACATTTTTATTATTATCTTTTTCTTTCTTATTTTTAATATTTTTTTTACAATGTAAATTATAAAAAAAAACTAAAAATACATTATAAAAACAAAAATCTTAAAAATAGTTAACCCGCTGGCAGCGGAGCAGGGCCCAAGCTACCGGTGGTCAGGGTCACAGGCTGAGGAACCTCCTTATTATTATCTTTATTATTTTGTTCCCCAGGCAAGGAGGACGGTCTCGGCGTGGAGTGCCTCAGAGACGCCGGCCTCATCGCCGGAGAGACCGCACAGGCCTACGAAGACATAGTCACCATATCCGTGGTCACCTGCAGGGCCATTGGAATAGGGTCTTATGTGGTCCGGTGAGTGTACATTATACATTAAACTGACTATAGTCCGGTCGCCGATCACGTAGAATTTCGTCCAATGACCCCGAGCTACCCATCCTTATCGCTCGCGCGTAATTATATTGTTGTCGCGACTGTGCGACGGGCGCCCGCAGTGAGTGTGCGAGCGCGACAGCAACACTCGGCGACCCTACTTTATAGACTTAGAGTATTTACTTGTAACAGAACAATCAGCCTGTCTATAATTGTTCTAGTGTAATATCACCTTTTCACGAACTAAACGTAAGAAACATTTATGTAAGAACATTACATTACGTAGAAATGCTTGAGAAAATGCTCTATTAGTCTAAACTCATCTTAATAGTCCGTTAAAACAATTTTATTGTTTACGTCATATCAATAGTAGGGTTAGGACGTGCACTATAAAATCTTTTCAAGGCATTTTATCGATTTTAGACGATAAGGAGTAGGCAGTGTAGGCCAAACCCTCCTTTTGCTTCTGCTAGATTAGAGAGAGACTGCTGAAAATACTATATGACCAGTAGGCCTAGGATCTGCGCCGCGTTAGACTGTTATTGCGCTATTTTATCGATTTAGGGGAGAGTTCGGTATATTGTACCGCCGGGTAAATTGTACCACCCTCATATTTCGTAAAGTATTTATTGAATGTCTGTAATTGCAACACTTAGCGATACACAACTAAAATCAATTATTATCGGCCATGTGGTTTTTGCCGTGACAACAAACACGTGTGTTTTATTTTGAAAAGTATTTTTTCATTGTTTTCAAGTAACATTTGTCAATACATGTTTAGTTTGTAATTTTGTTAAATTTAATCACAGGGTGTTTCTAATATATTATTTAAAAGCGTAAATTAGTGTGGATTACAATTATTTGAAACATTTTTCGGTATTTATAAGCTATATTTTTTACCGATTTTTTAAAAGCACTATCACCTAGTCGGCTAAATTGTACCACATCAAGTTGTATGGAACTTTACCAAAGAATTTTGATTTTTTTTTTAGTAAATCATATTTTGAAGTTATAATAGCGTAGTTATGTTTGACTAACAATAAATGAAAGCAAAAGACTGGAAAAGTAGATAAGGTACAAGTGTGCGTTACGATAATTGGAATTACAAAACTTGTACTCAAAATCGTGATAACGTGTAAAACAATATCGATTGTCTATGTTATTAACTACTGTTCCTTTTCGTTTCCTAATTTGTTAAGAATGTATCGTATAATATTTTGCCATAGTTTTTTTATAGGCTTGAAATTTACTGAAATCCAATTTAGTAACCCTGTGGTACAAATTATCGAACCGGTTGGCTAAATTGGACCGAAGCTCTGAACTCGTACTTTGTTAATTTGTGCTAAATATACAACAATCATGTTAATTAATACTTATGAAATAGTAAGTTGAATAATGTATCTTTTATTATATACCATGGACATTAGCAAAAACAAAAGAAAACTATGTGTAAAATGGGATTGAAAAAAACTGGTCCAAATTAGCGGACTCTCCCTTAACTATGGACGTCGACGTCTAAAATCGCTATAAGCCTAGGTGCAGACCATCGATTTTTCGTCGGCCGATAGTTTAGTCGGGCAGTTGATCAGTATGGGCATGTATGGAAGTGCGCATATTACACCCATTTGATTTGGCCGATTCTTCATACAATTTAAGCTTCCTCGTTGTGAAAATATTAAAAAATATCAAAATTAAAAAAATTAAAAAAAATCGGGCACAACTATCAGCCAACTAAAAATCAATGGTCTGCGCCTAGTCTAAGCGCCGTGATAAAATCTTATCGATGGCAGTCCGGCGGGGTGGATGCTCCCCACGATAAAATCTTATCGTTGTTATATTGATTTGTTATGTCAATTAAACTTAGTTAATTAAATTCAAATTATCTTCCACAGCCTCGGCCACCGCGTCATCCAAGTGGAGTCTTCCTACATCATCCTCACAGGCCACGCGGCTCTCAACAAAGTGCTCGGACGCCCTGTATACGCCAGCAACAACCAACTGGGAGGCATATCTATCATGCACAATAACGGTGTCTCGCACGCTTCTGCGCCGACCGACTTGGAAGCGATCAGGACCGCTGTGAGGTGGCTGGCGTTTGTGCCCAAGGTAGGACGTTAATGTACTTTGTATAGGACGTAAAAGGGGGTCAAATTTAGGGAAACGGAGCGAGATAGCGGAGCGAGATAGCGGAGCGAGGCAGCGGAGCGAGATAGCGGAGCGAGGCAGCGGAGCGGAGTGAAAAAGTAATATAAAGTGAGGTTGCGAGCTGTGTCTGTCATTAGACACTAAGCTAGGTAGCGGACTGTGTCTATCCATAAAGACGCAGCTAAGTAGCGGAGCGGAGCGAGATAGTATGTGAAGCGGAGTAGCGGAGCGGAGTGAGAAAATAAGCGGAGCGGAAATGCAGCCAGTATCTGTCTATAGACGCGTAGCTGGGTAGCGAAGCGAGGAAGTATACGTAGAGTTAGGTAATCATAGACTAATAGCAAAATGGCGCCCGAGGCTGTCGCACGCCTGGTCTAGTATGGCGTCCAACAAAATGGCGACCGCGGGTGTCTGGCTGGCCATAATGACACTTGACAAGTTGTCAAAGTGGTCAATTAACTTTCTTTTATTTAAGCTGAGTTGCACCATCTTATTTTGACTTTAACAAACGTCAAAAATCTGTCAAACTCCATACAAAAAGCACCGGTTATTGTGAAAGTTACGATCAAAGTAAATTAGTGCCACTCAGCCTTAGTTTACACTTACAATTATTTATAACTATTATAAATATCGCCTAAACTCCATTTGTTATATTTCTCAGGACAAACTAAGCATGGTGCCCATAATGCGTTGCGCCGACCCCATAGACCGACCAGTGGAGTGGGTCCCGCCACGCGCGGCCCATGATCCGCGACTTATGTTGACGGGAGACGCGGCCAAAGCGGGCTTCTTCGACCACGGCTCGTTTGATGAGATCATGAGGCCGTGGGCACAGACCGTCATCACTGGTGAGCGATTTTCCAGTCACAGATATTTGTCAAGATGTGTACACATAAGTTTGTACACATGTTTGGCAAAGTTTTACATTAAGACACTGCACATGTCTACACATATTAGCACACGTGTTTGGTAAAGTTTGATAATAAGACACTGCACACATAAAGCACATAAAACAAGTATCCAGATGTCTGCACACAAGTTTGTACACATATTTGACAAAGTTTGACACTTTTCACACATCCCCTCGTCGCTCGGAGCCCATAGCGACTTATGCTCACGGGAGACGCGGCCAAAGCGGGCTTCTTCGACCACGGGTCGTTTGATGAGATCATGAGGCCGTGGGCACAGACTGTCATCACTGGTGAGCGATTTGCCAGTCACAGATATTTGTCAAGATGTGTACACATAAGTTTGTACACATGTTTGCACACTTTGCACATAGAAAACACATGGGACAATTGTCAAGATGTGTGCACATAAGACACTGCACATATAAAGCACACATAAAACAAGTGTCCAGATGTCTGCACACAAGTTTGTACACATATTTGACAAAGTTTGACACTTTTCACACATCCCCTCGTCGCTCGGAGTCCATAGCGACTTATTCTCACGGGAGACGCGGCCAAAGCGGGCTTCTTTGACCACGGCTCGTTTGATGAGATCATGCGGCCGTGGGCACAAACCGTCATCACTGGTGAGCGATTTTCCAGTCACAGATATTTGTCAAGATGTGTACACACAAGTTTGTACACATGTTTGCACACTTTACACATAGAAAACACATGGGACAATTGTCAAGATGTGTGCACATAACTTTGTACACGTTTGGCAAAGTTTCACATTAACAAAATGCACATACAAAATACTCATTACTGGTGACTCATAGATATTTGTCAAAATGTGTACACACAAGTTTGTACACATGTTTGCAAAGTTAGACCCTAAAAATACAACACACGTAAGCAACAAGACAAGTGTCACATACACATGTCTGCAAAGTTTGACACTTAGCACTTATGAAACACTTATGTGACGAGTTTCAAGATGTGTGCACATATATTTGCAAACAATCATACACATTACGCCAGCTCGGAGCTGGACTCCATAGACCGACCAGTGAAATTTACACACAAGTTTGCACACATATTTGCACAAATATTTGTGCACATATTTATACAAATATTTGTACACGTATTTGTACAAATATTTGGCAATGTTTGACATTAAGACACTGCACATTCAAAACACGTATTTAACTAGTGTCAACATGTGTACACACCTTTGTAAAGTTTTGAACATCCCGACAGCTCATATAAAATTGAGAACAGTGTTGCTAAGATATGTTGACTACTTTGGGTGCCTCAAACAATATGCTTACTTTGACTGGTTACATTAATATGATATATTTAATATCAGATCATCATCATCATCATCATTTCAGCCATAGAGGACGTCCACTGCTGAACATAGGCCTCCCCTAATGCTTTCCACGTTGATCGAGTGGTAGCAGCCGGCATCCAGCGCTTCCCTGCTACCTTTACAATAATATCAGATCATTTAGGCTATTTTAGACGCCTCGATCTATCTGACGCTAACTATACTTACAAAACAGGCATGTGGCAAGTTAAGAATAAGAATAAGTGTACACACAAGTTTGTACACATGATCACAAAGTTGGACACACTACTAACACCTCTATTTTGTGGTCAGGTCGCGCTCGCCTCGGCGGCATCCCTGTAGGCGTGATAGCGGTGGAAACGAGGACGGTAGAGATCACCCTGCCCGCAGACCCCGCCAATCTGGACTCCGAGGCCAAGACTGTGCAGCAAGCTGGACAGGTGAGAAAGAAATAGAATATTTTAATCAGCAGGTCATTTATAGGTGTATAGATGACCCACATTGAAATGTCCCACCAAACTCATTGACAGGGGGGCGCCACCATCGTTCAACTTAATAGTTTCCAACATGGCAAAAATCGGAACCAGCGATCCGGTATTGACTGTGGCGCCCCCCTGTCAATGTCACGGGTAGGACAGTTCAATAATAATGGGTCTACAGGGTGGAATTTTGTAATCCCACCTGGAGGGAAAGTACTCTTAATACTGTAGATAGAAAATTTTACTGAAAGAAAACATTTATTTATTTTTTAAAAGAAAGAGAACTGCATTCAAAAATTTTCGAAAATTTTTCGAAAATTCACTACCATACCATACATTTTTCTGTACATAATTAAAATAATTTAAGATTTCATGGTTTTCCTTTCATTTGATTTATCAAGTTTGTTAGAGAGATTTCATCCTTATACCTAACCCTAACGATCGATGTAATAAAAATACAGGGTGTAATTTTTAACAGATTTTAGTTGGTTCGATTCCCGGGTGTGGCAAGCAAATTTTTGGAAATCTGTGAATGCAGTTCTATTTCTTTTCAAAAATAAAGTAATGTTTTCTTTGAGAAAAAAAATCTATCTACAATATTAAGAGTACTTTCCCTCCAGGTGGCATTACAAAATTCCACCCTGTATAGCGGTTAACTCAGTCAGTGCCTGAAACATGGGATGATTTTGTGACGGTCAAAAGTCAGCGAGACTTCAAACTTGTATGCCCTGTCACGTCACAATATATGTCAATGTCAACCCTCCCGTGCTGCTCCCATACCACAGGCACTGACTCAGTCAAGCGCTCGATCTATAGTTTCCTTCATCATCATCAGGTCATTTAGTCTCCAATGCAGGAGCACGACCCTCTCTGATTTACCAGAGGCAAATGGAGGATTTGGCCTACACTCACTCCCCACACGGGCCAAAGCATCATTGGTCGTTTTTCCAGCCGTGGACTTCATTTGGCTGACCAATTTATTTATTAGGCCATTAGAATTAAACACAAAAATGAATTAAATCGGAAATAATTCCTAGTAAAGATTTTAGTGATTTAATAGCTTCATTAGCTGCCCATAAAGACTCTCCTAGGTTTTCGACTTCGACGGAGTTGTGCTTAAGTGGTGGGGGCCCCCGAAAGGGGCGCTTTTTCGGTTTTCCGGTTATACCGCGTAAAGGACTTACCCTATCGAAAAGTGGTCTTCCTGATGGTTGAAGGGCATTTAATCCTGCATTAAATAAGACCAAATTCATATGTTTTGAATAAACCGTTCTCGTGCAAATGCTCGGCAAAGTAGAAAATATGTGTATAATTCAAGACCCTCTCCACGTCCAATGGCTCGTTACCCGCAGGCTTCCAAGTCTTGAAAAGGAGCGCCTCAACCAGTGTAACCCTATCAAGGCTTACGAGCTAGATGCGCCTATCCTTGTTCGTCCCAGCCGTTCCTTAACTGTGGTTGCCGCACCTCTTCCTGGCACTCACCTGAACGACTCTGTGTTACCTACTGTGGCTGCCCCTCTTCCTTGTATCCTCCTGCATGACTACGTTGCCTAGCCGTATGCCTGGTCTAAGGTTCGACGCCAAAAACTGGCCTATATAACACATTACATTGCACATGACTTAAAGCTAACTTCTAACTTAAAAAAAAGCAAAGCGGAAGAGAGATTTGATGAAAATACTAACATAATAGGAAAAATTCGTTCTAATAATAAATATCTAAATGCCTCAATACCTCAAGGAAGTGTTATTGGGTGCTTACTTTTTCTCTTATATATAAACGACCTGCCTAAAAACATACAGGTACCAAGTGTTCTATTTGCCGACGATGTATCCTTGCTCCTCCCATGTAAAACAAACCTAAATCTAGATGTAACTCTGAAGAATGTACTTACCACAACAGTAAACTGGCTGCAAAAACACAATCTAGAAATTAATTTCAAGAAAACTAAATTAATGTCTTTCCATCCACATCAAAAGCCACCTATAAATATAAACTTCACCTTTGAAGGGGCTCAGTTGGAGGTAGTTAAAGAGTTTACATTGCTCGGATTAACAATAGACACTCATCTTAGTTGGAAACCCCATATAAAAAAAGTAAGAGCAAAAATATCCAGTTTCTCATATGCCCTCCGTGAAATTAAAAAGACCACAGACTTATCCACAGCATTAACCACCTACTATGCATATGCCCATTCATGGCTCTCCTATGGAATTATATTATGGGGAAATAGCACTGACGCACCTACAATTTTTACTCTACAAAAGAAATTAATTAGAATACTTGTAAATATAGAACAGACGGACACTTGCAAACCACATTTTAGAACACTTAAAATTTTAACTTTACCGTGTATCTACATCTTAGAAATATGTAAATTTGTCTTTAAATACCCTGAATTCTACACTAAAAGAGAACATGTCCAAACCACCCATCAACTTAGACACAGAAATAAATTAAACTTACCTTATTCCAAAATGTCAATGTTTTCTTCCGGTCCGTTGGTAATGTCTATAAAAATATTTAATAAGCTACCCAATTTTCTCAAAACCGAAACAAAACTGAATATCTTTGTTAAGAAATTAAAACTCTTCCTTATTAATAAAAGCTATTACAACATTAAAGAATACTTAGAAGACAAGTTCTAATAAAAATGCAACTAAGTATTTATNTTAATAAGCTACCCAATTTTCTCAAAACCGAAACTAAACTGAATATCTTTGTTAAGAAATTAAAACTCTTCTTTATTAATAAAAGCTATTACAACATTAAAGAATACTTAGAAGACAAGTTCTAATAAAAATGCAACTAAGTATGTATGGTAAAATATAATATAATGTGCAATAAATAAACCTCAAATGCTATAAATTTTAAATAAATAAATATACCAGGTATACAATAATAAGTAAATACAATAATAAATAAATATGCTAAGTATATAAATTTTAATATAATAGGATATAATATACATAACATACCAAAACTAAATCCTGCCAAAAAAAGTAGCCCTAAGTGCAATAATTTAGATGAAAATATAAATATAAGTATAATGNATTTATTTATTTATTTATTTATTAATAGGTACAGTTACAGTACATAGAATACTACTTATTTAGTAAAAAAAAATGTAAAAAATTATGTATGGTAAAATATAATATAATGTGCAATAAATAAACCTCAAATGCTATAAATTAGAGATGAAACGGATAGTGGTTTGGCCGGATACCGGATACCGGATATCCGGCCAGCTACTAGGCCGGATAGCCGGATATCCGGCGGCCGGATAGTTGGCCCATTGTCTCGTTGCATGTTGTGATGCGTTTAGCACCGCACAGGTGGTGCTTCGAACGCGATCAGTAGGTCTTTTAGTAGACTAGACTAGTCACACTTTTCGAAAATCGAATCCGTCCGAATAGAATGTCAGATTTTGCCACTTGTCTAGGGGGCAGATCAATTCAGGCGATTTCGGTTGCTGTCGTGAGTGTGTGATTGAATAGTGAAAATTAAATTAGTTTACTTGCTGCGTAATCTGACTGAACTGCATGCATCATGTCACCAGACCACCAGTGAAAAAAGATCGCTTTTTTTATTTGGCAATATTTCGACATTAACAGATGTTTATAATTTATGTATTCGTCATTAGAGTTATTAGCCCAGAAAAAGTAATTAGATTTTTGAAAGGCCTTAATATTATGGCTTTTTTGTAACTTTTAGGACTTTAAATAAAAGCCGTCATTATTATAAAACATTTTATTGATATTTACCTCAAAGATTAATGTATTTCATTTTATTAATAGGAAAATGTCGTAGTTTTTTAATATCCGGTATCCGGCCGGATAGTGAGTTACTATCCGGTATCCGGCCGGATAGTAAATTTAGGCCGGATATCCGGCCTACCGGATAGTTACCGGATATCCGTTTCATCTCTACTATAAATTTTAAATAAATAAATATGCCAGGTATACAATAATAAGTAAATACAATCTATATATATAAAAATGAAACCCGTTTCGCGTTGTCACGGCATCACGTGTGAACGGCTGAACCGATTTCGATAATTCTTTTTTTTAAATGTTTGTGGAAGTCCAAGGATGGTTCTTACGGAAAAAAATATTAAGAAAATCTCTACGCTAAGGCGGTACGAAGTTCGCCGGGTCAGCTAGTAATAAATAAATATGCTAAGTAGGTATATAAATTTTAATATAATAGGATATAATATACATAACATACCAAAACTAAATCCTGCCAAAAAAAGTAGCCCTAAGTGCAATAATTTAGATGAAAATATAAATATACTAGATGAAAACCCGGCTTCGCTCGGGTGAAATTTGACTCATAATACACAATTCTAGGTGCAAAATTTAGATAGATGTTTCTGTAGTCATCGGTTCTCAAAGAATATTAAATATAGATTCATATAGCTTCGTTAGTTGTGTTTAATAAATATGGTAAATAAAAACTGCAAAAGTTTTTACACAAATTATTTTTATTTTAAATCACCAGTCAANAGGGCGCGTCACATGGATGCAATAAGTAAATCATTGAGAATTTAGTATAATAATAGTTCCTTTACTTTTATACAAGTTACTACATTATATCAGTGTCACAATGTTGGTAATTTAAAATACAAGACAGATTTCGATTTGACATAGTCAAATTTCTACAGCATCGCCCGACTTTTGCAGACAGCGCAGCTATCACGATTTCGATTCGAATGCCACTTTGTCTACAGTATTTCAATCTTGAGGCAAATGTGTGTGTTCATTACTGCATTTAATGATTTCATTGCCCATGGTGTATATGAACGCTTTGCAGCCTTTGTAGACTTGATTACACCACCACCTTGTCTTTCCGCTGAGCTGGCGCTGGCGATTGTACGTGTACCCCTTCAGGTATAAAGCGAGGGCACCGGAGCGAGTATTTATAAATACAGGACCTGAAAGACATAGAAACGTTTATTTAGTTGGAGGTAGTTAACGAGTTTACATTGCTCGGATTAACAATAGACACTCATCTTAGTTGGAAACCCCATATAAAAAAAGTAAGAGCAAAAATATCCAGTTTCTCATATGCCCTCCGTGAAATTAAAAAGACCACAGACTTATCCACAGCATTAACCACCTACTATGCATATGCCCATTCATGGCTCTCCTATGGAATTATATTATGGGGAAATAGCACTGACGCACCTACAATTTTTACTCTACAAAAAAAAAAAAATTAATTAGAATACTTGTAAATATAGAACAGACGGACACTTGCAAACCACATTTTAGAACACTTAAAATTTTAACTTTACCGTGTATCTACATCTTAGAAATATGTAAAGGACAATGTTCATTTCTGGCCTGGCGTGGACAAGCTGCTAATGAAAATATGAATTTGCCAAAAATTTTTAATTAATTTTTAAAGTATTCACTTAGTGTAACTTTGTATCAATTTGCATTTATAAAAATCCAATTTAAATAGTACTTTATGTGATAATTACAACTTCCTGTCTTTATCACTCATTTCAGTGTTGCCAAAATGAATCTTATCGGTAAGAATCGATTCAGATCGATTGTTGTTCGACTATGACAATTATTATTTTTTAAAATACGTATTCATTAAAATGACATTTATAAAACTTTTTTAATATTCTAATAACACTACCAAAAATATTTAAATAACTAAATGAAATCTTATTTCACACACACCTCATTATACACCTTATTTCGAGTCATCAATAATACAATCGATTTTTATATCGATTATTTTTATTCATCACCACATTATTAGCATGGCAACACTGAAAATATTGTCACACAGCTGTTATCTGTCATTCGCTTTGTTTGTTTTGTATTTTTCATCGTGAGTGTTGTTTAGTTCTCAAAACCAAGTTTTTGCCAAATAAAAGCAGAAGAGTGTTGTATAAGTTTCCCTTTTGACATCTTTATTTTTTTGACCATGGTCCTCGATGCTACCCTTCCCGATGACCCTTGCATACTCTCGAACTACGAATCTCACTCAACCAATGACCAATGGCTCACTTTCGGACATCGAACCTTGCCTAAACGCCGACCACGGCTTACGTATGGACTCCGAACCGAGCCCCAATGTTAACCCCAGCCCGATTTTGGATAATGCAACTAGCAATTCCTCAACCTCATGAGGAACCTATGATATATATCAATTGTATAGCTTACATGATGCAGAGGAGGCGACATAGCCTAGAGCTTATTAAGTTCAGTTGGTTATAATGTCAGTGGATGACTCCTCAGCTGGTAAGTTATTGAATGAGCGTGTGGACTTGTTGAATACCTTTTACAATGTATTTGATCAACTACCTTTACCGTAGATTACCATAATCCTAATAAAACCTTTTTTTTTAGATTGATAACAGTAGTGTATGTTGTCACTCATGTTGGACCGTGGCCACGGTGTGGTTCTCCACCAATCAANTGTAATTTTTGAGGTATAATACATTATCGTAGCATAAATATTTACGAAGATACAGATGTGTCAGCTGGAGACACGTGTCCTCAGCTTACACATAGAAAACAACTCATAGTTATGAAGTTCTAATGGCTCTAATTGAATGACTGAGAGGTTTGATGACTCTAATTAGGCTTTTATTGATGGTATACTTGGAATTGCTCTAGGGCCAATGAGGAAGTTGGAGACATACACGTAGATGTTGTTATGTCATTAATGTCATCACCAGTCATCACGGTTTCTTTTCCTTTTTTCGTCATTGGCTTTGAGAGATTTTGAGTGTGTTGTTTGTCGGTATAGTGTTTGAATCCAATCGAAATTAATAGTAATCAAAAGATAAAAATGGTTTACGTTACAGGAGGTAAAGTATAATTTGGTTGTTTAATGCTGTAACAATGTTTTGTGCATGTACTCGGAAAGTAGGCCACGTCAGTCCATTACTCCATCAAAATGATCTTGATAAAGAACTGTATCTCATTTGCTATAATATTTTTATACAATTGCGACATCTAAATAATTGTGTAAAGTTTTATTTTAATATATATTTGGTTAGGTATGTATGTACAAATTCCTTCAACATTTTTGCTGATAGGCACTTCACAGGAATATTTGTTTTTTTTTCAGATGGTACTGTGGTGAAGAGCTCACCGTTTAGTATAACCAATTGGATTTATGCAGTTATAAACTTCTTATATCTGTTGTAAGTTGATGCCTAAAATAATAAAAAACATCTTAAATATGTACAGTTGATTGTCAATGTATAACAGCGTTGCCAGACGTCCCGATTTTGGCGGGACGTCCCGATTTTTTAATCAAATTTAAATGTCCCGCGCGGGACAGGCTCGGTCCCGCTTTTCGGAGAGAGACACTCACTTCACCAGAGCCCCGATTACGGTAACTTTTAACGTTTCCAATCCAGACGCGCTTCATCGATTCTGCGATACGATTGGTCAAAACAGTTGACGTCAGCTGTTTTGACCAATCGTATAAGCGCGTCTGTATTGGAGACGTTAAAATTAGCGTAATCGGGGCACTGACTATTGTTTGAAACGCCATATTATTGTAAAGAATAAAACTTTTTTAATTTCGATTTTTGTTATTTTTTTATTCTAAAGACGAATTAAACGATAGAGTAAATCTGATTTAAAATATTATTTTTTTGTTAAAATACATTTTCTGTGGCCAATTTTGCTATCTATTGTCACGCAAACATAATTTTAAGTCAAATAAAAAAATACATTTGAAAACCTTTGATTAAATACGTTTTTTTACTATGTCCCGCTTTTGACGGAAGAATCCCGCTATTTTCACTCAAAAAGTACCAAAGTCCCGACTTGGCGAAAAAAAAACTGGCAACGCTGCTGTATAACCATCATGCTATACATTTTTGTTTCAAAATAGCCTATATTACATTGTGATCAGATGCCACTGTGTATGTGTAACATGTAGCTCATGATCTATACATCTTAGAACAATCTTTTGAATTGAATATGGCAGTCTAAACATATAAGTATGGTTTCAAGTAAATGTAAATTAATGTTTTTAGTCTACCTTGTCAATGACTGAGCAGTGTACTCACACTCAATGCACCTTAAAAGCATTGTTTGATAGTCTTACTGTTCAAAACAGTTTTACAATCATCACTGACTTTTAGATGTGAAAAGAATTTACTTATGGATTGAACATTTATTTACTTTTGATAACACCTTCCACATCAGACATTTGGTAGTGGCCTGCATCCAGCGCCTTGGGAGTGGCCTATGTTCAGCAGTGGACGTCCTGTGGCTAAAACGATGATGATGAATGCTTCGCTAAGGTTAAGTTTTTGCCTACACAATTTGTTAATTCAATAAATTTTCATCTCAACTTTACATTTTACAGGTTCAAAACAATGTTCGATCCTAACTATTCAAAACATGGAGACAAATATGTAAGAGATTTTAGGCCTCCAGGCAGTGGGTATGTATCATCATATTAACATAATGTATACTTGTTTAATTAGATTAGTTATTACATTGTAACTTTCTCTATTATAAGTTTTTTATACTTAACACTTAAGGACTCGCTAATGGGTCTAACGGAACCAGTCCTTTAATTTTTGTGTAATAACTTTTAAGTTTTGACGTTTGCGATGTTGTCGCTCTTAGTACCTTTCCACGACATTGTAGCACAGACAATAGCGGTCGTACTCGACAAATAGCCTACTGCATGTGAGTGCTACAGACGAAAAAGGTGCTTTTGAGTCAGCTGGACCCGGTCAATAAAGTGATTTTTTTAATGTTCTATACTAATTTCTCATTAATTGTTAATTAGTATAAGTAGGCAAATCATAGTACTTTACGAAAATATACAAGTCATTTTCTTAAATAATATTATACAGAAATTTTCAAAAATAACCTTAATTTTACCAAGAAACCTTCAATTTCTTAAATAAGTTGTTATTTTAGAAAAGGGCAATAAATATTTCTAGTTGTTTTACTAGATTGTCTTTGTTTATATCGTATTATTCTTCTAATAAAGTAGTTTTCACTTTTATTAAGTGTTTTTGAAAAATACATAGGATTTTATACAGGGTGTCCCAAAAACAATGGATAACCCTGTAACCATCAATAGGCCTCGCCATGGTCTCCCTAACGTCCAATTTTGACCCCAGTAAAAATATCACCGTTTTCAAGATTTTTAAGTTTTTGTGCATTTTTAGAAAATTGCCACCTGCGATTACTTTTTCTCATGCCATTTCAACAAATGAGGATACTTTTCAATTTAGTTTTTTTCCTTATCACAAGGGATAGTTGGGCTATCAAAAGAAAAGATTAAAGTTCAACAAACTAGTTTAAAAGTATGAAAATTTTAAGAAATTGCAGAGAAGAAGGAAAAATTAATTCATTGTCTTGCACTTTTGATCAGCCGTCGTGTAAAAAAAATGTAGGAAGACCATCGTGCCCATTACCTTAAAAACTTCCTTGGTTAATTGAGATTCTAAAAAGGTATCACAAGCCTATGTATTCTGTATTATTTTTATCTTATGGCTACTTGAATAGCAACTAGTATGAAAACTGCAAAAATGAGTTTTTCTCGTAATAGTTAAACTAGGACTGCATAGTGGCATTAAATACAAATGGATAATTTTTAGCGTAGGAATTTTAATAAAGCAACATTTTATCATCATCATCATCATCATTTCAGCCATAGGACGTCCACTGCTGAACATAGGCCTGTACCCCAATGATTTTCATAATGACCGCTTGGTAGCGGCCTGCATCCAGCACCTTCCTGCTTACCTTTATGAGGTCGTCGGTCCACTTTGTAGGTGGACGTCCTACGATGCGCTTTCCGGTACGTAGCCTCCACTTGAACCCTGTTGCCCCATTGGCCGTCCGTTCTGCGTTTTTGTGATTACTTAATTTTTGTTTTAAACCTTATAAATGTGCCTATAGACAGATACCCGTGATAATACACGGCTCGGAAACGTGGATTTTTTGGACAGCGTGCTATGGAAGGGGCTATGCTCGGGTTTCTTCACGAAACCGTATCAGAAATTAGGAGATCCGTAAACGAACTAAAGTCGCTGACATAGCTCGACGGATCAGCAAGCTGAAGTGGCAAAGGGCAGGGCACAGTAGTTTGCAGAACTGAGGCAGCAGGGTTAAAGTGGAGGCTACGTACCGGAAAGCGCATCGTAGGACGTCCACCTACAAAGTGGACCGACGACCTCATAAAGGTAAGCAGGAAGGTGCTGGATGCAGGCCGCTACCAAGCGGTCATTATGAAAATCATTGGGGTACAGGCCTATGTTCAGCAGTGGACGTCCTATGGCTGAAATGATGATGATGATGATGATAAAATGTTGCTTTATTAAAATTCCTACGCTAAAAATTATCCATTTGTATTTAATGCCACTATGCAGTCCTAGTTTAACTATTACGAGAAAAACTCATTTTTGCAGTTTTCATACTAGTTGCTATTCAAGTAGCCATAAGATAAAAATAATACAGAATACATAGGCTTGTGATACCTTTTTAGAATCTCAATTAACCAAGGAAGTTTTTAAGGTAATGGGCACGATGGTCTTCCTACATTTTTTTTACACGACGGCTGATCAAAAGTGCAAGACAATGAATTAATTTTTCCTTCTTCTCTGCAATTTCTTAAAATTTTCATACTTTTAAACTAGTTTGTTGAACTTTAATCTTTTCTTTTGATAGCCCAACTATCCCTTGTGATAAGGAAAAAAACTAGATTGAAAAGTATCCTCATTTGTAGAAATGGCATGAGAAAAAGTAATCGCAGGTGGCAATTTTCTAAAAATGCACAAAAACTTAAAAATCTTGAAAACGGTGATATTTTTACTGGGGTCAAAATTGGACGTTAAGGAGACCATGGCGAGGCCTATCGATGGTTACAGGGTTATCCATTGTTATTGGGACACCCTGTATACTGGGTCCAGGGCACCCGATAGCGAGTATGGATGTTACAAATGAAGGCGCGAGTCCTTAAGTGTTAAGTGTTTGTTTGCCAGTCAGAAAATGTTTATTTCAATGACATTCTTTCATGATAATATCTGTCTACTTGTCATTAACATTTTCTGCAATAGTAACCCAGACACAATAGAATTTTTATTGTTATGACTGCTATAGTTGTGGATAAATCTCTTGCAGCTACTAAATTATTTGTATTTATTTGTTTTCAGACCTCCAAAGCCACCATCGAGGAAGTTCGGTGGATTCGGGCCTTCGAACTCGGGGCCTCCGCCACCCCCGGCCGGCGGTTGCGGCTGCGGTGGCTAAATTAACCTTTTAACACATGCCCAGCCCAACTCTCAACATTTTGCCAGTCTAATTTTTTAACAAGTAGGTATACGAGTATTGTATCTTCAAATATCTGTAAAATTTATCCATTAACTAGTTTAATTTAAAGCGAATTTTCCAAAAAGTACCTGTTAAAAATTATGTTTTCTAAATAATTTGTTTAAAAGACACAGACTCAATGTTATAAATTACTATTTTATAGTTAACACCGGATTTCGTTATCAATATTGTTAACAATGTGGGTCAGTGGTGATTTTTAAATATTCGTTGCGATGTTGTATTCTAATTTAAGTGGCATATTTACCTATTTTTTCTGTGATTAATATGACTTAAACTTTACAATGTGAACTTTCTGTGCATTATAGCATAGTGCTATTCCAAAATCATTGTTAACTCGTCAGAATTTCAGCTGCTAAGCGAATTAATTTAATGTATGAATTATTATTTGTATCAATATTTTCCTGTTAGCATTTATTAATGTATTAAACTATCTGTAATCAATATATTATTCAAAAATTAAACGTAGTATAACACTATGTACTATCGGGGACTCTTCCGCCTGACCACTTTGTAGAAATTTTAGCGTAAGCGCATCGCTCCGGTCACGTGCTCACCGCGTCTTTAATTGGTTACGCATTTTACTATATTTTTACTACGACCAATAAGAGACAATCAGGGCTTAGGTTGCAATACGAAATACCATTGTGCACTTTATTGTCATACGGTTAAGGTTTAAAACGAAATGTTTCTTTTTCTTCAATCTTTCTTAGTTTTAGGCTGAGTTGCACCACCTAACTTTGACCGTAACTATAACGGTAACCGGTCCTTTTTGTATGGAGTTTGACAGAATTTTGACGTTTGTTAAAGTTAAAGTAAGATGGTGCAACTCAGCCTTAGAATTTTAATAATAGAATTTGGTTACAAACAAATAGATATGTATTTTTTTTAATATTGTGTTTTTATACGAGGTCTGTCTGCTTTTTGCTTTGGCGATCTGTCGACATATTCTCTCCTTTGTTTTTTTGTGAAGTTTCGTGATCAATAACCGATTGATTTGTGTTGACCCGTGCTAGTA